CGCGGGGTCAGCCTTAACTCTGCAGGCCGAGCCAGCATTAGGGGTTTGCCTTGGGGAAGGGCCTTGGTGAGGCGTGGGATCTAGGATGGAGGCTCTCCAGGAGGAGGAGGCTGGGGCAGGAGGCAGCTGGGCGCCGAGCCCAGATCTGGGGAGGAGCCAGAGGTCCATGCAGACTCAGAATCCTGCGATTGGGCAAGTGATTGGTGTGGGAATAAGGGGGTCCACTCAGACACCTTTCATCTCTAATGCCTAGGGTTCTGTCCTATCCTGCCTGGGCCGGGGACCTGTGGGTGGGGACTGCATGGGGACCTTTGGAAGCAGGCCCCTGAAGTCCCTCAGTGCAGGTGGGAGAGCTGGAGAACTTGCTCCTGACCAGGCAGGGGGCCGGGGAGTCTGGGCTGGACTACCCAGAGGCAAACGGGGCCTGGCTGTTGGATTTCGAGGACCCTGCATCTCAACAGGGTGGGTCCAGATATTGGGCTCAGGGCCCAGGTAGAGGGGGCCGAGGACCTCCATCTGGCAGAAACAAAAATAAGTCAACAATAGGGCTGGCTGGGTATCACCTGGGCTCCTCCCTTGCCCCACCCCCAACCGCTCTGTTTCCTTATTTGTAAGATAAGACAGATCCTCTCTTGGCAGTGATGGGTTTTGGAAACACTTTGAAAAGGTGATGTGTTCATTAAATGCACAGAATCAGTACAGCATCACGGCCCTAAATTCTAGACGCCTGATGATCTTTCGAGGGGTTACGTAGGTGAACGTTTTTGTTTTGGTTTGCATTAGTACTTGTAGGTTTATTTTAACGTGGATAGGGAAAAAAATTAAGTCAGTGCACCAGACACCAACGTTCATGAATAGTTTTGCTCAGTGTGGTTGAACCCCGAGGCGTGCACTAACCTGAAAGGCGGAATGTGAAGTGAATCGCTGTTCAGGCTCACCTGGAGAATATGTGGGGGCGTCCTTGAAGGACTGAAGTTTGTCAGGGCTGGTCAGTTGCAGACAGATGGGGCCACAGGCCGGTCTCGGGGCAACAGGCGCCATGCGTGGCCAAGCCGGGTAGGATCTAGCGCCCACAATGTGCTGCGACACCCTCTCTCCACGTCCGCTCTGGGTTCCGGGATTTCCGGGGAGCAGTGCGCAGACATCCTCAAGTCACACCGGTGACCGAAAGCTCAATCCAGGTTTTAAAAATAGAACCTGAGACAAATGAATGTGTCTCTCCACTCCCACCCCCAGTGCAGAATATTTCCAAAGGAAATTGCCTCCTGTTATTTCATTCTATTATGGAGCATGGCTCACAGAGCCACTCATCCCTCCATTAATTTTCCATGGGGAAAGGACTGTGCCTTCCTGGCTTAATGGAGAGGCTAGAATACCACAGATCGCCTGATTGGGGCCGGGCCCTGCCATTCCCGGAAACCTGACGCCCGTGGTCCCAGAGTGTCCGGCAGTACACGGGGTGCCTGAACGGAACTCTCCGGCAGCGCCTTGCCTGCTTTCTCTGCTGCGCCCAGAGAGTGTGGCCTGGAGAGCTTTGCACCTAGTGGGTGCTGAAGGAGCTTGGAAAGTGCTCTCCACTGGCCCTTTCTCTTCTCTGCCCACTGGAGAAGGAATGGAAAAGGAGCCACAGGTGGACAGAGGCCAGGGTCCAGTCTCGGGCAGCCACCCAGCCACTACAGGGCCTTCTGCCCATCACTGGCCCTAGATCTTCCTTTTATTAGGAATCTCTACCTGCTTCCAAGCAGATGGCTTCTCCTGCAGGGTCACTCCCCTGGGAAGCAGTTTCAGACCAGCAAGTCTGCAAGGAATTTCCATTTTCATTGCTGCCTTTGCTGCATGCATTCAGGGCCAGGCAGCTTATGGCTTCCTGGATGGTGTGAGTGAATTGTGGCAGAGGGACTGGAGCCGGCCCAGCACAGAGCATGAAACTGAGGCCGGATTCTCTGGAACCCCGTGGGGGTCCCCTCTGGGCTGGGCTCCCTCGGGCCCCCCGCAACCCCAGTGCTTGCTGTCCTGCTGCAGTCACTGACTGGTGTCGGGCTCGGCTCCTCCCCACCTGTGACTTCCTACTCACTGGAATGCATGCCAAATGACCCCAGTCTCTTCTGCAGTCTGCTTTCAAATGAGCTGGGCTCTGCCCCCAGCCTCTGCCTGGGCTGTTCCTCTTTCTGGAATTCTCTCTCTGCCCTTCTCGTGATGAATTTCTTCTCCAGATCCCAGCTTGAGCCTTGCCGCGGCCTTCTGGGCCCGCCATCCCGCGTGCCCGTCCCGCGGCGCCCAGTGCTTCATCACGCCACGTCACCTGCATTCACAGCGCTGTCCCTCCCACCTTCCACAAGTCCATAGGCAGAGCCTGGCATGTTTCACAGTCACCAGAGTGTGCACAGCCATCGGCCGCAGCTCCACACAGGGTGACGAGGGGTTACATCACCATCTACAGAGGCAAAAGCCAAGGCTCAGGACACCCAAGTCTGAAAAACAGTACTGCTCTTTGCCCGGGGCTCTTTTACTGGGCGGCCATAAGGTGCCCCCCAGAGTACTTGAGGCAGATGGTATGCTGGGATGGCCAGGGGGTGCCTACCGTGCCTCATTTCCCTCGGTTTGGAGGCCGGGGTGGGAGGCAGCCCAGGCAGGGAGGAGCGGGTGCTAGAGCTATGTCTAGGGAGGTAGAGCCCAGGGTCCAGGCTGGGGGGGTGGGGTGTCACTCCAGCCCACAAGAGCACAGAGGCCCGAGCATGACGCCCACCCACCCACATATTCTCTCTCTGCTGGGTGCTCCCTATTGCCCTGGTTGCCAAGGAGCCAGGGGCCTGCAGGTGAGCCCCGCTCTGAGTGGGGCAGTCAGCCTTGCCAGGGCCCGCACCCTCCTACCTTCAGGAGAGGTGGGGGGGTGCTGAGGCTGGCTGGTAAGCTGCCTGCTCCATGGCCTTAGCTGCTGATCTGCAGGGCTGAAGGTGTGCCTGCGTCACAGGGCTGCCCAGAGGGTGAGGGCTGCTGGGTTACCGGAAAGGCAGGTGAGGGCAGAGAGGGGTGGGGCAGGGGTGGGATGACCACGTACAACAACAACAGGGTGTGCATGACCCTGGGCCAATCCCAGCAGCTCAGCCTGGATCTGCGGGGTGACCCTGGGTGCAGGCAGCAGGAAGGCTGAGGGAGGGCAGTGGTGGGTGGAGAGCCGGGGATATGGGCAGCGTGACCAGTGTCCAGGTGTGCGTTGACATACACGTGCCGCTGTTTGACAGGTCACCATGCAGGCCTCTGCCCGCAGGGTGAGGGACAGGTAGTAGGTAGTGGGGTGCTGCTCTTCCTCCAGCTGATGAATATGAACCATAACCCGTCCTGTGTGGCGTGTGCCGGGTGCCTGGGACATCCTTGGGGGAAGGAGAAGCAGCCTCTGTTCTCTAGGAGCTGAAAGTAGTTGGAGAAGAGAGTTCGAGGGAGGTGTTTTTAGCTCAAATAAGGATGGTTTTACAACAATTTGAATTTTCCAGCAGAATGAATGAGTGGGGATGGTGAATTTGTTCTGCTTGAAAGAGCCTTGTAAACAGAGGTACTTTGTGATGGATGGATAGATACAGGATTGACTATTGGATGGATGCATGGGTAGATGGATGGGTGGGTGGACAGAGGGAAAGACTGATAGACTGATGGATGGAAGGATGAATGGATGGAGGATAGACTAATGGATGGGTAGGTCGATGGATGGATGGATAGATCGAGGATAAACGGATGGATGGATGGGATGATGGATAGAGAATAGACTGATGGATGGGTGATGGGTGGATGGTGGAAAGATGGGTGGATGGATGGATGGATGGATGGATGGATGGATGGATGGAGGAGAGACTAATGGATGGGTGGGTGGGTGGATGGATAGAGGCTAGACAGGTGGAGGGGTGTGTGGGTGGGTAGGTAGATAGTAGGCTGCCCAACTAAGAGGTACCTAGTACAGAGTGAGTACAGGCAGCTGCCTTACATGAGGCAGGAGAGCTTCATGTCCGTTCTGAGTGTTGCAAACATGGGGTGTGGGAGTGGGAGGTGTGTGTTAGTGGCACACGCATGCTCTTGCTCCCACACACAGCCTTTCCTTTGAGTGTGTCCCTCACCAGTGCCAGTGCTCCACTAGTGAGGCAGACCCTGAACCTTGCTGCCATGCGTTACTATAAGCCCAGTCACTTTGCCTTGTCTGCACCTCACCTTCTCCTCTTGAGTAGCCAGTTGGAGAACCTGAACTTCCAAACCCAAGAGCCCAGTCCCCTCCTCCGTGTTTTTGTCACTGGGTGTTTAACAAGGCCTTCGATGGCTTGGCCCCAAAAGGAGCTTGCTGGGGGCATTTCAGAGGTAGAGGGAAGACATTAAGGGGCCTCTGAGGTGCCACTTGGGATGCAACCAGCCCGGCCCAGGAGCTGTGGAGGCCGCAGAGGGGGCAGAGCGTGCCCTGGGCTTCTGGGCACTGTGTCCACTCCAGGGGCACAGGATGCCAGCACCGCGTGCAACACCAGCCAAGTGCAGGAGAGTGTGGGTACAGCTAGCGGCATGCATCTTTTCTGCTGAGCCACATTTGGCTCATAAGTGCCGGTTGCTAACTGGACAGGAATTGGAGTTTGCAAACTGGTGGCCTTTAGGCTGAATCTAGGCCACTGTCATGCAGAGTCTAAAGCAGTTGTCATTATTGCCCATTTCTAACAATTAGAGTATTTTACACGCAAGTCATGATTTCTGGCTTTTCTCTCAAAAAGTAAAAAAATGTAGGAGGGCCCAGGCTCCTCATTCTGGTTACCTCTCCTGTGGGGGGGGAGGAGGGGCAGCGGAGGGCTGGTGCTACAGGGCCGGACACCACAACCCACCAGCGGCCCACGTCACTTGTTCAGGTCACCGGCCTGGCCTCAGCAGGCTCTGAGAGCTCCTGGACTGGCTATTCTGGGGGTCCCCTGGGAGACCGAGGGTGGGAAGGGTAGGAAGCCCCTCTCCACGCAGTGATCTCCTGACTCTCCCCCCAGCTTCATGCAGGCCATGCTGAGCCAGCCCAAGATGGAGAGCCTGGATAACCCCACGGCCTACGGCTTGGGCCTTGCACTCCTGGGAATAGGCAGCACACTTGTGCTCTCCAGCTTCTTTGCGCTGGGCTTCACCGGGACCTTCCTAGGTAAGACCCCAGGGCCTGGGGGGCCATGAGCAGACGCACTCTGGGCTCAGTGGGGTGCTGGGGCCGGGTGGCTGACTGCCCTGCCATCTGTGACACCTTCTTGGGGTGCACAGGCAGACCCAGCCGTTTTCTTGCTCTGCCACTCACTCTGGGGCTCAGGGGCCTTCCCTCCTCCGGGCCTCTGCCTGGTCAGCTTGGGAAGCTGAGCTCTCCTACCCCATCCGGCTGGTTGGGTGCCAGGCCAGGTGGGATTTCCACTTGCTGCGTGGGGCCACAAGCCAGGGCTGGTGCAGGTCTGGGTTGGGTGTGGGGTAAGGGGGTGCTGTCCCTGCTCTGCATCCCCCACTGCCTCCGGCTCAGGTGCTTTTGGGCCGGGAGCCCTGTGCTGGCCTGGCAAGGGGTCCTTATGACGTCAGCAGCTTCTAGCAACTCGGAAGCCCAAAGAAGAGAGCAGCAGGGGAGGCCGCAAGAGCAAGGGCGTCTCTGGGTCAGGGGCAGAAAGGAGGAGGCAGCCCACAGAGGGAGACCCGCGGGCAGCCGGCACGTGGGAGGTGCCTACCTCTCAGATGGGCTGGATCGGGAGCTCCCGGGCCGTCACCAGTCTCAGCCCCCAGCCCACCTCACAAACCTGGCCTCAATTTCCTCCAGTGCCCAGGGCAGTCCCCACACCCTCCTGGTTTGCCTGGGTGTCTCTCTACCCACAGCCACTTGGGGTCTGGAGTATTGCAGGGGGCCTGGGTTACTGTTGGGTACTGTGGGCTGCAGTGGGGGGCCTGGGGTACTGTAGGGTTCTGTGGACTGCAGCGGGGGGACTGGGGTACTGCGGGGTGCCACAGGGGAACTGGGGTACTGCGGGCTGCAGCGGGGGGCCTGCAGCTCTGCAGGAGCTCGTGTTCACAGGCAGATGAGACCCCCGGGAGCAGCACGTGCCGGAGGCCTGTGCCGAGGCCTTGCCTGGGCCTGTAGGGAATCTGCAGCAGCAGGGCCCGCGGACGGTTCAGCACCTCCTGCTTAGGCTGCAGCTTTGGGTGCCCAGTGCTGGGAGAGGGTCATGGAGGCGGGAACCTGGGGGGAAAAGGTGGAGCTCAGAGTCTTCCTGGTAGGGGTGGGGCACTAGGGTCTGGGGGCAGACAGAGAGCTCCAGGGCAGGGGGGGGGCGGGTGTGCGGGGATGGGGGGGGACAGTCAGGCGAGGGCTGGAGGTCAGGTGGGGGCAATGTCACGTGTCCCTGAAGGCCATGTAGGGGCCTGAGGCTTCACTCCTGGGGAGGTAGGGTCACAGAAGGGCTTGGAAAGATCTCATGCCAGCATCAAGGAGGTTGGACTGGCCGGGTAGTGGGGGGAGGTACAGGGAGGAGGTGGGGATCATGGTGTAGGCCTTACAGAGCCGAGGCCAAGGGCCACAGAGGGAGGAGGGGCGCTTCCTGTCCAGCTCAGGTGCTGGAAGACCGGGGTGAATAGCCCTGTGGCATGCAGGCACGGGTGTGGGCACAGAGCTGGGAAGGAGCTGGCGGAGCCCCGGACGGTATGGGGGGCAGGACATGGTCAAGGCCGTGTGGGGCGCATCGCCTAGAGGAGCCAGTCGGGGGGTGGGGCGGGCAGTGGGCAGGAGCCTGACTGGAGCAGTCACCGCAGCATGCCTCCACCCAGGAGAGACGGCCAAGAGGGGCCGCTGGGCTCTGGATGTAGGGCACAGCGGCCACCTCCGTCCTGTGAGTCACCCCGAAGCGGGTTTCTGTGCCATCCGCCTCCAGGCCCATGGCCCCATTTCCTGCCTCCTGGGAAGACAGCCTTCCGCAGCCCTCGGGCGGCTCCTGTGCTCTGCACCTTTGTCCCCAGACAGTGGACTCCTCTGCCTGCGGCTGCCCTACTTCCACCCCCGATGAAGCTCTGAAGGGTTCCGGGGAGAGGATGCGGGGTGGACGCGGTGGGGCGGACGCGGCGGGGGCCCTTCCTGAGCAGCACCGCACGCCTGCCCGTGGTGAGGGCTGCCTCCTGGCCTGTGCTGGAGACCACGTCTCTGCCTCTAGGAGTGGCCTCGTCGCCAAGTCCCAGAGGGGTGGGTGATGGGCCTGTGCGGGATCGGCCATCTGACGGTCGCACTCTCCACTGTGACCGCTGCTCAGGGCTGGCCGCAGGCTGTGGTGGAGGAGCAGAGCAGGCCCCCTGGATCCCCGGGGTGGGAGGAGCTCACCCAGGATGCGGCCTGGGTGAGAAGAGAGGATCTGGGGGCAGGAACAGTGGGTAGCAGGCAGGGAAGGGCCTCTTTCAGGAGGTGACATAGGCCGAGGGAGAAATGAGGAAGGAGGAAAGATGCTCACTAGACAGAGAGCAGGGAAAGGCATCCCAAGCAGAGGGAACAGCATGTGCAAAGGCACAGAGGAAAGGAGCAGACGGGGGTAGAGTGGGAGGGCTTCAGGACCCTGTGCCCTCAGAGGTGTCTGCATGCCTGTGACCCGAGTGGACCCATTGCCTGGGGTGCCCCTTGACTCAGTGCACTGTACCACCAGCTCCTTGGCTGGGCAGAGCCTCCTGGAGGAAACCCCATGGTGCCCACCCTGGGGGCCTCCCTCAGTCACTGTACAGCCAGGCCGTGACCCTCCGCCCCCGCCCCCCAACTTGTCCACAGGCGACTACTTTGGGATCCTCATGGAGGCCAGAGTGACCACATTCCCATTCAACATCCTGGACAACCCCATGTACTGGGGCAGCACAGCCAATTACCTGGGCTGGGCCATCATGTGAGTATCAGGCCTTCCTGCCCACCCTCCCTGCCTCCTGGGCAAGACGGGCCAGCCTCTGTCATCCGTGGAGCCGACATGTCCCTTGGGACTTTCTTCTGCATGCAAATGACCTCCTAGAACGGGTTGGCGAGCTTTCTCCCACAGGGGCAGGGCCAGAGCGGCCCTGAGACTATAGGTAAATGAATGGCTGTGGCCGGGACCAGCCCCGCTTCGCTCATGGATGCTGAAATTGGAATTTCATATAATTGTTGCATGTCATGAGATATTCTGTTCTCTCTTTTTAACCATTTAAAAGTAGAAAAATCATTTCTGGCCTGCAGACCATAGACTGCCAACCCTGTCCTGGAACATTAGGGCTGGCAGGTCCTGAGCCACTGCCAAGGGCTCATGCTGTCCAGAGACCCCAGGGGGGGAGGCCAGCGTAGGGGGTGCCGTGGGCTCTGGGCCTCACACCCTGCGCCCCTCCGAGCACTTCCTGTTTGCCCATTTTCCGTATTAGGGCTTCTCTCTCAGGCAGTGTTTTGGTAGAAAGCGGTCTGCTTTTATTGGACACTTGGAGCCACGTGCCTAGAATGTTGCAGGTGCTCCCAGAAACCAGGAAGGCTCTAAGACATAAAGGAATGAGTCTCAAATGGTGGAATGTCAGGAGTGAGATGTTTCCTTGCAACCACTGCCTTCAGGTGCAGCCCAGATTAGAGCGCTGGGCTTCGAGTGCCAGGCGCTAGCGGGAGATCTGTGGGTCTGGCTGGGACCTCGCCCCCTGCCCCAGCCCAGTCCCTCTCGCCTGGACTTGGCCGGTGGGATCCTGGGGGGTAGGGTTCCATGCCCCTAGATTCATCCACTCCAAAGCGCATGTCCCTAGGCCCTACCCTGCAGCCTCTTGATTCTGCCCTGAGCTCACCCCTGCCAGTGCATCCACTGTTCCCTCCCTTTTCCATTCCCTTTTGGTGTTTCCAAACCCAACTTGAGTGCCCTCTCCTCCAGGAAGCCCTCCCTGACCACTCCCCCCTCCCCTCTCCCCACACAGCTGTGTCCTCTGTGCTCAGATGGGCCTTCCAAAGGCAGAGTTCACATGTGGGCCCCTTCTGTGCCCCAGTGGTGGTGGCCGGTGCCCAGGAGTGAGATGTTACCAGGTCAGGGCTCTCAGGAACATATGAGGGACCGTAGGGAGGAAACCAGCCGCGCGGTGAGAAAGGAGGGCCTCCTCTGTGCTGCAGAGACGCGGCCTTTCGTCTGAGCTCGTAGAGAGGGGCCGTTGCCTGGGGCTGCAAGACACTGACCCGGCAGGGCTGCCCAGGCCTCCTGCAGCCCATCTGCTTCCCGCTAGGGGCCCCACGGATGGGGGAGCTCTATGGGCCTGGGGCAGCGGGGCCTCCTGCTCTCTCCAGGCCTCTGCCTTCCCAGCCCCCTAGCCCGAGTGAGACACCCCGCTCCCCAAGGTGCATGGTTGGTTCCCTCGGACCAGCCCTGCCACCCCCTCAGGCTCAGAGCGGGGCCCCGTGGGTCAGTCTGGACCTCAGCCTCCCCGTCTGCAGAAGGAGACGATCCTTTCCACACAGGGTTGTTAGGGTGTCAAGGTCAAGAGTGTGAGAGCATGTGAGAAGTGGGAAAGCTTCCTGTGGATGTAATGGAGTAGGGGTGCCTACTTGGCTCACGCTCCAGGGCCCGGGGTGGGGACCATCCCCCTGAGCCTCCGCCCCAGCTCCTCGGGTGCCAGATTTGTGGGTGGGGAGGCTCTGCTCATTCCAGAAAACAAGCGAGGGCCAGTGAGTAAAGCTCCCAGGGGGCAGATTTCAGTTTAGCCCCAGAAGGGTCTCCGTTTGGCGTTGGCATCTCCACCTGGCTGTGACGACGGGCCGGCAGACCCCTCCGGCCTGGAGGATGGTTGGAATCGAGGCCACAGAGTGGAGGGTGGGGCCTTCACAGCCCCTGCTGGAGGGCTGCCCGCACACACAGAGAGATGGGGTGAGGCCCGGGCGGAGGTGAGTGGGCAGGGCAGAGGGTCTCCACTTGGCACACACAAGTCTAGGGCCCCCAGCCTGGGACTTCTGTGAAGGAGGCAGAGCGGGGGACACAGAGCCCGCCTGGGGCCCGTGCTCCCTGCTCGCTCCCGGGCTCTGTGCGGCCCCATGATCCAGTTTCCCTCCCGCCCCCCTGGCCATATGGATGCCGCAGCCCACCCTCTGGGGAGCCTCTGGGGTCAGAGGCAACTAAAAAAGGTGGGACCAGCTGGACAGTGGATGCACCCAGGCTCCTCCGCGTGGCAGTCACCAGCAGGAAGCCATGAAGGGTTCCACATGTGGCTGGGGGCCTTGGACCTGTTTCTAGAAAACAGCCTGAGAACACGGTCGCTGGAGCACAGGCTAGCATTGTCCCCCCATCCCTCCCCACCCTGGGAACATCTTCCTCTGCAGAAAAGGACACGCTGTCTGAGAGGCCAGGCATTCTTGTCATCCCTGCTGTGTCCTGAGCGGGGTGGGGGGTGGGGGCCGGAGCAGAGCCCCCCGTGGAGGACTGAGCCACACTGCACAGGCGGTCAGCTGGTGGCCGTCGGGTCAGGATCAGCACGGTGGGCCCTGGTCTGAGAGAGAAGGCGGGCCCGGGACCTGACTGAGTGTTCTCCGCAGGCACGCCAGCCCCGCCGGCCTGCTGCTGACTGTGGTCGTGGCCCTCATCTACATGGTCGCCATCCAGTACGAGGAGTGAGTAGGCACACTGTCACACACGAGGAGTGTGGCTGCCGAGCGGCCGACAGGAAGCTCAGAACGGGGCGGGGGGGGTGCCTGGGGGGCCGGGCAGGCGGTGACGGGGCAGCCTGGGGCCTCCCGTCCATGCTGCAGTGGGGGCCCGGCCTGGGGCGGTGCATCACCCCTGAGACGTGCTGACTGGACCTCTCTCCCCCTGCAGGCCCTTCACGGCTCAGATCTACCAGCAGAAAGCGTCCTCGTCCCACAAGAGGAGCTGACCGGGCCTGTGGCCGCTTCACTGAGGGCCTGCCGCCCCCGGCCTGCCCCGAGTGCTCAGCCCTGCAGCGGGGAGAAGGGCGCCTGGCCACCGCGCCAGTGTTCACGTCTGATGAGTGCCACGCAGTGCCTTGGAAACCTCTGCCTCGGGGGCCCTGGACATGCTGTTGTTTGGCCACTGAGCCCCCCTGTCCCACTACCCAGAGCGCGTCCTAACTCACCAATAAAAGGCACCCTGACGCCAGCATCCCCTCCGGCTCTCTGTCTGGCCAGGTGGGAAAGGGGAAGGAGTTTGGTGCTCCTGGGGAGGGAGCATTCCCCTGAGGGCTCCAGGCCAGGCTGGTGTGGCCTTCCTTCTGCCTGAAGCCTCTCAGCCCTGAGGCCGGCATTACCATCCGTGGTCGGCAGGGAAAGGGCTTGCCCAGACATTTGGGCTTCCTGTGCCGCCGGCCTCACACCCTGCCCCAGCGCCCCATCTTCTGTCCCTTTCCTTTGGGGAGCCAGCCCAGCCTCTGGGTCGAGGTGTCCTCATACCACCCTCCAGGCCCACATGCCAAGGAGCTCCCAGCCTCTGCAAGCTGCCGTCAGAGAGTGAAAAGCATGCTGAAAACGTAAAAAGTGATGTGATGGTACCTGGTGGGGGTGGGAGCCTATTAGCCATTGTGGTCGGGGCGGCGCCCTCTGAGGAGGTGACATTTGAGCTGAGACCCAAATGAGCAAAGGTAGCAAATGCGAGGATTCCAGGCAGCAGGAATGGTGAGTGCAAACGCCCTGTGGCCAGAACAAGTGTGGGTGCCTAAAGCAGCATGCTCTGAAGGGCCGAGCTAGTGAGGGGCATCAGCTGGGCCCCTTGGGGTCAGGCCAATGAGCTGGGCCAGTTAGCACACACCCCCCTCCCCCGGGACACTACCACATTTGCAAGAAGCTAGGCTGTGACACTCATGCTCTCTGAACCCCAAGCCACCAGGTCCAGCCCTGATGAGCTGGCCTTGGAGACAGATCATCTTTGTGGGGTGATCTGAGGGCGATCAGAAAAGCCCAAATGTGATTACAACGCAACCCCCCTTTGGCCTGTGAGGGGCCTGGCACTGGACGGAAATGTCATGAAGCTGAAGACTGACGTGGCGTGGGCTGTGGGATGGGGCTGGGGAGGCTACTGTGCTCCCCCAGATTTGCTAGCCATGTTTGAGCCAGCAGTGGGAGGGGAAGGGCCGGGCCGGCTGGACCTCGGAGATTTGGCATGCACCTGCTCTGGGCCCCCGCCCCGCAGTGGCTGTGTCTGCGCACTCCGCACTACCACGCAGGCCGGGGTCGCCCCCGTTTGGCAGCAAAGGCTGGGTGGCTTGTCCCGGAGGCACAGGTCTTTCCCGCCCAGGCTCACACTCCCTCTCTGCCGCTGAGGTGGGAGGCGCTGAGGAGAGGTGGGGGCTCCCGATGCCATGGCGGAGTGGTTCCTGGATGGAACTGGAGGACCTTGGCCCGGCACCCAGTCTCCCCACCCCTCCCCCGGGCTGAATGCGGCATCTCTGCTTAACGCTGACATTTCTCTCCTAATCCCTCCTAAGGCTTGAATCGCCTGAGGAGCAGGCCACGGGATCGTTTGGGGCCTGGTGGTCAAGCCTGGCAGCAGAGGGCAGTGGACAGGACTGGCCGGCCCCTCGTCCTGGCACCAGCCTTACCTGCAGGCCGCTGGCCCTCCAAGGACATGGGGTGGCTTTCCCGCGTTTGTGCTGGGAGCCCACAGTGAACCCAGACTCCACCTGCGCACGGGCTCTTAGGGCGCCAGTCCCCCACGCTGTACAGGGCTGCCATAGCCATGCCTGCCTTATGGATGCACCAAGCGCCCAGGCAGTCCAGGCTGGGGCCCTCTCGTCACCCAGGGAACTCCTTGAGCCCTTTTCTTTGGTTTCTGGAATCCAGAGTCTATCTCAGGTCTTTAGGACCCACAGGAGGCATCTGGTCTGATCTTACCCAACGCTTCAGTCCCTGCCTCTGACATACCCCTAAGAACAGGGAGCTCACTCCTCCACAGGCACCTTTGCACACGTAGCCTTTAAGGATATGCTGGTCCCCCGAAGTCAGGGCAGAACAGAGGAACCCCAGGCATCCTGATCCGTAGGTACACTGGCTGTGGGAGGAGCGGCCCAGGGCGGGGCCAGAGCCATGCACTGAGCTGGCTGTCCTGAAAGGGTCTGCTGTAATGGGAACAGAGCTCAAGGCTAAAGAGGAAACGGCTAGACAGCTGTGATCTGGGCTTGATGAAGGCAGCCTGTCGGAGAGGAACGCCAGCTCTTTTTAGCCACCGTCCTGTCCAGGCAGTGGCTATGGAGGGTGACACAGGACACCTTTGTGCAAGGGGCTGCTAGGGATGGGCTCGGGCTGGCATGACAGCGTCATTGCGGGAAGCAGCCACTCACCTCCGCCCCTGCTGGGGGCCTGCCCGGCACTCTCCTCAAACAGCTCTCAAGGACGCCTAAACCACTCTTTGCCATCGGGCCCGGCTGTGGCGCAGATTTCTTGCCTTGCGGGCCAGCTGTCCACTGTCCAACGTGCCCTTAACATTTGGTCAAATATTTTTAAAGTTCTCATTTCACGTTGAGCAGGAAAATTGCTGCCCTGCCCGTAAATGATATTTACAAGCAGGCTCAGCCTCACAGATGCTGTTTGTTACCTTATGACCAAACACACAGGAAAGGAAATCATTTGTAACCATTGTTAACCTCGACAACATAAAAACAAGGCTTGGGCTGGCAGGCCGTGGGTGGTGGGAGAGCTGGGAAGCTGGGGTGGGGGGAGTTGGGGGAGGTGCGCACACGTCCCCCCAACCCCCAGCGCGTTGCCCAGACTGTCCACGGGCAGACCAGACAGGCTGATGGCTACGAGTGACTTGCCTGAGCCCAGGGCTCGCCTGCTGAAAATACATCCCACCCTGGGACCACCCGGATTCAGTCAGCCCGTGGCAGGGCCCAGGCATAAAGTCTCGAAGGCCACCCCAAGGAACAGAAAAGTGTAATTCAATTAGCAAAGAGCTTGGCAGAGGGCAGCTGTGCAGGGGGTCAGCCTGTGTGCAGGGGTGGGTGCCTGCCTCAGAGCTGGCCTCACTCCTGTGAGGTGTGGGTTTTAAGGGGGGTCCAGCTTCCTGTTTGTTTCACGAAGTTCCTTTCTGAGGTTCCGACGCTTCAAAAACATGAGCATGTGTTACTGTTGTAACAAAGAGTTCTGCCTTTGAAAAAAGCCAGGAAAGAGGCAGCCCAAACTAGCTACCTCACCCCTGCTTGCTTCCGTGGGGGAGTGAGGGCTCACAGGGGTGGGCAGGTGCATAGGCTTTTGGGGGACATCCATTTGGGGAATGAATGACCCAAGCGCTCAGGGCTTAACTCTGCTGACTTAGGACAAGTCTCGTGACCTGGCATCTGTGAGGTGGGGTGATGTGCCCGGAAGGCATCAGGAACCGTGGCTCAGAACCCAGGCTGGGCCCAGTGCCTGCCACTGGCACTTATCAGCTGGAGCAGGCTGGGGGCCCGATGTCAGTGCCAACCTTGACATCTGCCCTGGGATGGGGGAGGGACGCACTATCCAGGCTGGGTCCCACCCACTGGGTCTCCCTAAGGAGAGCTGGGTTCCAATCCTTGACCCTGCGGCCCTTGAACCTCTGCTCACAAAGCCTACCCAGAACTCGAGGCCCCCTTGACTCTGGCCCCCTGGTATGGGCCATCAAGAAGGAGCCAGAAGCCATCCTACTGCAGAGCCTAGCTGCCCACAGTGCACCTTCACAGGAGGCAGAGGGAGGGCCCTTCATCTGGGGGTGACACGAGCCCCTGCTGTGACCAGCCCCTACCCTTGATCCTTGTCTGGTCCCTTTCTGCAGTGAAAGTCCTGCCCCACTGTCCCCAGCAGCCCTGTGTGCGGCTCATTTCTTTCTCACCTGAGATGGGGAGGGCAGGGTCAAGAGCGGTGGGGGACCCAGTCCAGCTGGCCTGTCGCATAATTCCTGCCTAAAGGACACCAAGAATCAGAGCCAAGTGCTGAGCCCGTGGGTGCTCATCATGTGATATGTGCCTTTGAACCACCTCATCAATAGGAGACACAAGGCCTGGGGACAGGTGTGGAGGGGGTGGGGCATACTCGGAGAAACGGGGCACAGATGTCCCACAGCCGGGGACAGAGCCACAGGAGGGGTACAGTCAGTGCTTAAGAGCCAGGACTGCCCATTCCCTGGTTTAAGCTCCAACCCTGCAGTTACTAGTCATGGGCAAGTCATGCCCCCTGCCTCAGTTTCTCCATCTGTAAAATATAGAGAGTAATAGCTCCTACTCCTTAAACGTTGCCAGAAGCAAGGACTTGTAATAGTGTGGGGCACACGTAAACCCTCTTCTGGGATCACTCTGCAGAGGGTGTGGGGCTCAGTTGGAACTCTTGTCATAGAGGCGCTGGATAAGGTGAACTTGCAGCCCACAGGCCCCATGCAAAGAGCAGAGGGCTGCAGCTGGCGCCCCTGACACTCACAGCCTGGGGTACCCTGGCCCTTGTGGATAGGTGGGTAGCACCAGCTAATGGCTCCCTGGCTCTCTCCCAAATTAGACGCAGCCCAAGCAAAACACAGCACGGCCTCTCCCATGGGCTCCAGGCCCATCAGTGGATCCACCTGGTTACTGATCAACCTGCGGCCTGCTGGGTTTGCTCCTGCGTCCCCCTCCTCCCAGCCCTGCGAGCTCATGGGTCATTTACTGTTGTTATTACCAAGTTTCCTGCCCCCTAAACTGCTTGTACTTTCTCATCCACAATCAGAACCAGAACCATCTTCCAGAAGAGGAACCCTAGACTCAAAGAAGACGAGAGGCTGCTGTGTGCCCAGGGCCTTCTCACTTGCCCACTCTGTGTCTTGGAGGCCCAGCTCCCCCAGCTCTAAAACGGGAATGTTTGCCCAAGAGACTCCCAAGGCACAGAATGCTGTGGGGGAAGGAGAAAGGGACATGGGCCTAGACTTGACCAAGGAAGAGCAAGTCTCTGGTCCTTTAGGTCCACCCAGGAAAAGGATGGGGTCTGCCCCCGCCTGAAAATCCCTGCCCGGCTTCAGAACGTCCCTGGCTGGGCAAAAGGAGACGCTGAAGCCCGCAGCAGAGCACGGGGCGGTGAACGGCTGGTGTCGGATCCTGGCCTGGAGCCCCGAGGCCCGCACCTCCGCAGACCCCCACCCTGCCCCTAGCCCCCCACTCCAGCCCAGGGAGCGGTGCCTGCCACCTCTCTGCTGCGCCGGCGGGGTCTCTGCTGCCCTCTGGCGGCCAGAGCGCGAGACGCCAGCCTCGGCGCTAACGCTGCTTCCCGGGAACACGCGCGCGCCCGCGGACGGGAAGGGGGCTGCGTCGAGGGTTCGTTCTCCGTATGGTAGAGAGAAAGTAGGTATGCAAGGCCCCGCGCAAGGGACCCAGCGCTGCTAAGCGCCTGCGATTACGCCGCTGCTATGACTGGATTGCTATTGTTATTCTCTGGGTAAACTGAGGCCCAAAGAGAGTGAGTGGGAGTGTGCACGTGCGGGGATGTGGACGTGCGGGGGTGTGTGTGCGTGTTTCGGGTGGGATCCTTGCCGCAAGCCACGAAGGGTCAGAGGCACAGCCGGGATTACAGACCCGACGTCCTTGCGGCTGCTGAGCCCCGTGCAGGGGAAAAAGGGGTCCGCGCGCCTTTAGCCCCAGGGGGGCCTGGGATTCAGTTTCTCCCCGCGCGCAGCGGGCGGCAGCGGACAGAGGCCCGCGGAGGTCGCGGGAGGGGCGGCGGGGGCTCGCGGGGCGTGACGCACAGAGGCTGGGAGGGCGCGGGGCGGGGCGGCCACGCAGGCTGCATATAAGCGCGGCCTCCGGGCGCGGAGACCCAGAGCGAGCCACTTTGCCCCAGAGCCGGAGCTGAGCTCGAGCGGGAGCCCAGCCCCAGCCCAGCCCCAGCCCAGCCCCAGCCCAGCCGATACCCCAGCGCGAGCGGAGCACAGCCGTCCAGCCGCTCAGCCCCGCGCCCCCGGCCGCCCTCCGTACTTCTCTCGGCTCTGCGATCGCCCCCGCGGCCCCTGCGCCCAATGAAACTGGCCGCGATGATCAAGAAGATGTGCCCGAGTGACTCGGAGCTGAGTATCCCTGCCAAGAACTGTTACCGCATGGTCATCCTCGGCTCGTCCAAGGTGGGCAAGACGGCCATCGTGTCGCGCTTCCTCACGGGCCGCTTCGAGGACGCCTACACGCCCACCATCGAGGACTTTCACCGCAAGTTCTACTCCATCCGCGGCGAGGTCTACCAGCTGGACATCCTTGATACGTCCGGCAACCACCCGTTTCCCGCCATGCGGCGCCTCTCCATCCTCACTGGTGAGCGCGGGGCCGGTTCGGGCGGCGGCGGGGATGGGGTCGGGGGGAGGTAGCTGTGCCACCGGGAGGGCGGCGACCCCTGATCCGAGAGCGCCGGCCTGGGGCGAGGGCCGTTCCGCCGCCCCGCGCCACGTTGAGCGCGGAGAGGTCCGGACGTCCCGCGCGCGGGCGCTGGGGCGGCCCCCCTTGGTGGCCCAACTTCAGCCGTTCGCTCGGCCGCCCCCTCACCGTCGCCTTTTCGGCTCTCCGTGTTCCTCGTAGGAGACGTTTTCATCCTGGTGTTCAGCCTGGACAACCGCGACTCCTTCGAGGAGGTGCAGAGGCTCAAGCAGCAGATTCTCGACACCAAGTCCTGCCTCAAGAACAAAACCAAGGAGGACGTGGACGTGCCGCTGGTCATCTGCGGCAACAAGGGTGATCGGGACTTCTACCGCGAGGTGGAGCCGCGCGAGATCGAGCGGCTGGTGGGCGACGACCCCCAGCGCTGCGCCTACTTCGAGATCTCGGCCAAGAAGAACAGCAGCCTGGACCAGATGTTCCGGGCGCTCTTTGCCATGGCCAAGCTGCCGAGCGAGATGAGCCCGGACCTGCACCGCAAGGTGTCGGTGCAGTACTGCGACGTGCTGCACAAGAAGGCGCTGCGCAACAAGAAGCTGTTGCGAGCCAGCAGCGGCGGCGGCGACCCCGGCGACGCCTTCGGCATCGTGGCGCCCTTCGCCCGCCGGCCCAGCGTGCACAGCGACCTCCTGTACATCCGCGAGAAGGCCAGCGGCGGCGGCCATGCCAAGGACAAGGAGCGCTGCGTCATCAGCTAGGAGCCCCCTGCCCCCAGACCCCCGCGTCCGTGACTGAACCGAGGAGGACCTTTCTGTTTCAAAGTCACCCCGGGCCAGTCCCTGCGCCCCGGCCGGCCGCGTGCGTGGGGACTAGCGTCTTCCCTCCCCGGGCCCCTGGCCGAGCACACTGGGGAGGCAATAACCAAAAAGGGACAGTCATTTGTTCTGGAAGAAAAGAACTGGCCAAGATTGGGACTTCTCCCCACCCCCCTCATCCCCAGTGGCGCCTGCCACCCCCAGACGGGGGCACAGGCCGGCAGAGGGCGAATTTGTCTTGTTTCTGACAAAGACAAGAGTGGGGAAGTGAGTTAATCAGCCTCTGTTGGGCTTTGAGAAACCTGTCTTGCCCCCTGGAGGGTCAGGACAGGACATGGGCATTATCTGATTCTGGGGTGCCGTGACTGCTGAAAGCTAGAGGCTACTGAAAGCCTCTGCCCTCCAGAAACTAAGGGGGTGCAGGGGGTTCGGGTCAGATCGTAGCCAAGTGACTTGTTTACATGAGCGTGTGAAATTGCACAAAGGAAAACAAAACACACACCTTGCACTTTAATAGTTCTGATGTCGTCATGGACACGAACAAAATCTTACCCAGCTGTTTGTACTGTGTGTGATAGTCTTTAAAGTTATTGTTACTGTTTTTTGTAATTGAAAATAAAACCGTTTAAAACAAAGCCATGCTTACTTTCCTTTTAGAAATGACTGGAAGGCAGAAGGGAGGGATGGGTTTTTACTTCTGTGGCATCAGACTCCCCTTGCCCAGACTGGAAATGACCCTGGCGTTTTGAAAACCGCTTCCCCCCCCCCCCCCCCGGCCCCATGGGAGGAGAGGCTGCAGTTGATGGGGCCAAAACGCTTCTATCTGGGAATGGCTCCTGCAAAAGCCAGGACAGTGAAGGGGTTCAGGTCCGTGCTGGAGCTGCCACCACAAAGGGCCTCTGGGGCGGGTCCCAGCTGTTTTGTCCTTGACTCTCTACAGGCCCAGGGCAGTGAAAGGGCCTCCGACCTGCAACCCGCAGTTGGCATGAGGTGTCACAGGGCCTCTGCTTCCACAAAGGAAATAAGCCTTGAGAGACTCCCGTGGTGTCAGGCGGGTGCAAGCCCCTTGCCCCCAGGTCGTCTCCAGGGCCTGCCACATGGCCGTCTAGAGGCGGTTGGAGATGCCCTGGCCAAGCACGCCCCTCCGGCCCCGGAAGCAGGTTCCTGCCAGCGCCTTCTCTGCCTCACTGTCTCGTCTTGGCAGCTGAGGATGCCCGTTCCTGACTCGGGACCCAGCTCTCCTGCCACTTGTAACTGCTGGCGTGGGGCAAGTGACACCTGCCAAGCCCCAAGTTCTCGCCCCCGAGCTAGAGAACACCCTCTGCATTGGGGGGCCCGTGAGGAGTGAGATGTTTGCAAAGCACTCGGCACGGTGCCTGCCACCCAGTAACGCAAATAACTGGTGGCTGCAAGAGGTGCTCAGCCCTGGGAGGGGCGCTCAGTACCGTCCCAGGGCACGGTTTCAGCCCTGCTCTGGTGACGGTGGCCCCCTGCCGGATGTCCCACCAGGCCGGCCGCGTCCTCGGGGCCGGATGCCGCTCCTTAGGGAAGTTACTCTGTTTCTGCGCTGGTTGTGTCGTGTGTGCACCGAGCAGGACGGGGCGCAGGGCTGAGCTCTTCCCATTTGTTCTCTCCTCTAAGCAAAATGAACATCTTGCTCTCAACTATGAAAGACCGGCCTCCTATAATGAATGTCCCAGTACAAAAACCAAGATGTCCTGAGAGCAGAATACAAGTTCTTTTAATTATACTCTTGAAAAATGTCCCAAGTCAAACCCCTGGAATACAGGAAAGGTTCTGTGTCTGCCCCTGAAAAGCCCTTGTCTGTCTCCGCCTGGCACGAGGGCCCGGTGGTCTTGTTCCATGTGCTTCGTGCTTCATGATATGTGGTCAGAGCCTTAAAACTGGCCCATACGCTGCTCTGAGATCTCGCGGAAATAACTGATTCAGTTAAATACAGTCTCCAGGGGGAACTGGTCTAATAGGTGACTACTGCCCGCTTCATTTCAGAGCCTGCTCTTCTGCCCAAAGCCACTGAAACCTGACCCCCTTCACACACAACACAAATGGAGCTGCTGCTAAAAATGTCCTCGACCACTATCCCCGCCACCGAGGCCATCGGCAGGCGTCTGTGAAGCCCGACTTGGTCGGCACGGGTTATGTGCCCATTTCTAGACCTACGTCTCCCCTCATCTCTGACAGTCAAGGGAAGAAGCCACAAACGGGGTCCCACCTGGTACACATGAGGGGTGTTATGAACATTTGGAAGCAGAACCAGGCTGTACAGCTTCCAGGTGTAGGCCATCACCGCTCCTTGAGAACAATCCAGCACACACCCCTCACACCGGGCTGAGGGGTGATCAGAGCCGTCCCTCAGAGCTGCCCTTCTCTGGACAAAGAGCCCATCGTGACTGCCTCTGTCTGCGGTGCAGCGAACACATGGCTGCCTCTGCAGGGAGCAGGCGGGGGCGGGGGTGGGGTGGGGGACTGAGATTTTAAACCAGGGCCACAGGAATCCGAAATGCTGGAAGAGGCAAGGCCCGCTCACCCGGAGCCCTGTGAGCCTGTGTGGAAACGACACTACCCTCCGGCCCTGTGGGTCCCACTGTGGGCTCTGAAGTGGTCTGATCCTTCTGGAGCATGAAATGACCGAAGGGGACAGGAGACAAAGGGAGCTAAAAGTAACAACACGTAGGTGGCAGAGAACCTGGAGACGGGGGCTGCCTGGCAGGCAGGGCTCTGGGTCCACACCTCCAAAGACAGTTACATTCACTGGCTCAAACATAAAAGGAAACAAGCTATTCCGGGGGGAGGGGGGGCGGGACGAGGGAGGAAGTCGCCCTGCTGTCTCTCAACACAGCAGTCATGTGTCACGGGTTCTTCTACCGCTTTAAACCTGCGCTGTAGGAGCACAGCCCCCGTTTCTCCGGTGAATTCGAGGCAAACGTTTCGTGACACTGCTGTGAACAGAACAGCGTGTCCCTGGCATACTGCGCATACCCACGGTGGGAGAGGAGGGAGGGAGGAAGCAAAGAGGGGCCACCTCCTTGCCTGCTGCACCCCACAGACCTGCCCGCGGAGTCCTGAACTCACGGCGGATGGCCCCTCCCCAGAGGCCAGGGTAGAATCCTCTACCCACTGGCCAGCCTCCAGGAGCAGTCTTCCTTCCACCAGCAGGCACTCGAGTTATTACGCATCTCCACATGAGGCTATACACTCTACAAGGAGGCCCAACACAGCCAAGCTTGCGCACTGGCTCCTCACACTAGTCAATGCCAAGTTCAGCTACCGCAGCAGTGACACCAGGCCTTCCCCTGCCTCTCTATTACAGAGTTTTCCAGCTAGAGTCCAAAAGAGCTACGCCCCAAGGCGGTGGTGGGGAAGACAGTAGGGCCCTGTGCCTGCCCACTGCTTTCTCGGGCATTCCAGGAAGCCAGCCTCATCTACTCCTTGGGAATCTCAAACATGCAGAGGCTCTTGTACTTCTGCAGAAGTTCGTTCTTGGTCCTGACTTGCTCTCGGAGGCTCTGCAGCTGCTGCTGCTGCTGCTCGGGACTCAGGTGGATGCCGGGCATGGTGCTGATGACCTTCCGCATCTCCTGGAACTTGGTTTTGAGGGCGTTCAGGTCCTGGTGGATGTCTGGGCTGTCCTTGTCCATACTGCAGAGGGGAGGAGGCAGAGGGCGGTCATTAGCATTCACGGCTCAGACTGCGGCCCTGCCTGGCTTCCCTCCTCAGTACCTACAGAGGTGTACCTCCTCCTGCGTCATCTTTTAGAACGCCTTCTTTTCTATGTCCCCTAACTAGCTGTGCACCCTCAGAGGACAGGGACCGGCTGCCACCTCACAACGCGCTCAAACATAAAAGGAAACAAACTATTTTGGGGGGGCGGGTGGAGGGAGGAAGCCACCCTGTAGTCTTTCAAAACAATATTCATTGTCTCACGGCTTTCTTTTACTGTTTTAGGGACAGTAGCTCACTGACGGCACCCCTGCACCTAGCACTGCCATCGCAGCCCGTCTCAGCGTGCCCGCAAAATTAGATGCTGACACTCCATTAGCTCCGAGGGCAGGGGCTGGGTCTGCCTTGTTCAGAGCCGTATCTCCAGCCCCCGGGTGCTGTGGGCACTCAAGTAGCATTTGTTGCAAGAATGAATGCACACATCATTACCAATACCAGGTGACAAAGGGCAAACAAAACTTGCTGAAATATTACATTTCTTCGAATCTGAGACATTTCCAGGCCAATCAGGGAACTTTATCAGCTAGCAAGAGCTAATTTTAGCTGATGTTTTGATGCTTGAACCTGTTAACATAAGCACTAATTTCCACGGAGCTATTCATACATTTTAAATTAGTTACAAGCTATTGGAAAATTTTCAGCAGGTACCAAGTCTCTCCTACCAATCATGTAAATTCCTTGCCTTCAGGTCAAGCTCATTTTAAAGTCAGGATCATTCACTTCATCTCACAGCTATGATTAGCTGCCCAGAGATCCATGTTCCCCTTGTCACTGCTAAATTAAAAACAACAGGAACAAAACCTTCACCTAACATCAAAGAAACAGCCTGCCAGTTGCTCCTATACATGTTTTAAAAGTTAGTGAGTAGATGAGCTTTTGAAAACAGTTGGGACTAAAACTAAAAGCCAACTCAGTAGGTTGTTCTAAAAGTCACCCTTTGAGGGGTAGGAGGGAGAAAGCTGTCAATGATCATTTTTTTTTTTTTAATAAGCATCCATCCCTGATGGGAAATTTCAACCCAGATGGTGCTAATTCATGTTTATTATTCATCACGTCTCTGCTTACGCAGACAGAATATCCATCTTCCCTGGCGATCCCGTTGGTTATGCTCACACCCGGCAAATGAGACAGCCCTGTTCACTATTTATCAAGAGCTCTAACTCAGAGGCAAGAGATGGAGAATTGCTCATTCTAGGGAATGTTAACCAGCCAACCATTTCATTTTATCATTTGATGCCCTGACTTTAAATATATAGTTAATGGGGGGCGCTAGGGTGGCTCAGTCAGTTAAGTGTCCGACTTTGGCTCTGGTCATGATCCCACGGCTCATGAGTTCAAGCCCCACTCAAGTCAGGCTGCTTTGAAGTCTGTGTCTCCCTCTCGTTCTGCCCCTCCACAGCTCATGCTCTGTCTCTCTCTCTCTCTCAAAACTAAACAAACATCAAAAAAGTTTTTTTTCAAATATACAGTTAATGGTATACCTTATCCCAGTTTCTAGGGAGGAGTAATTGGTATTCATGAGAATTGTAAATCATTTAGAAGGAAGCAAAGAGGGGGCATCTTTTATTTTAATCATTTTAGATCTCAGCTCAAATCTACAACTCTGGATGGAAACCATCTGGACCTCTGAAATCATTATACTCGGGTGGCATATGTGTTAACACATGGTTACAAATGTAAGTCCTAAGGAAATTTTGAAATTAAAAAATATTGTTTTAAGAAAACCGATAGAGGGGCACCTGAGTGGCTCAGTCGGTTAAGAATCCGACTTTGGCTCAGGTCATGATCTCATGGTTCATGGGTTTGAGCCCTGCATCGGGCTCTGTGCTGACAGCTAGCTCAGAGCCTGGAGCCTGCTTCAGATTCTGTGTCTTACTCTCTCTCTGATCCTCCCCTGCTCACGCTGTCTCTCTCTCTCTCTCTCTCAAAAATAAATAAAACATTAAAAAACAACAACAACTGATGGATATCATGAGTCTGAAAAGACCCAGAAAAAGCAAACAAAGGAAAATACAAAAAATAAGAATTTGCACGGAAACTATGATAGAGTTCAAGTCTGGAAGCAAACATAACCAGCTCGATTCTGAAAGGAAAAGTGGGCCAGGCTTAGGGTGCTCACTTCTGAAAACCCCCAAACCTCAAGGGCTGACCATAGTTTTTACTTGGTGCGCTTTTGGTCAAGGAACCCCATCAAGGCTTGCCTGGAGGGAAGCTACGGGGAAAGGGGGCATGGAGCCTACAGCAAAGGCCCAGCCGGCCAGCCTCTCAGCTGCCCTACTTGCTGAAGGTGAATAGCATGGAGCTCCTGGGGTGAGGAAAACACTCTATTCAGGAACTGGCTGGAACCAAGCGAGAACCTGCTAGGCCAGGATGACTGTGAAATACTTGAGCCAAAAGAAAAGAGACAGGCCCAAATACTGAGCGAATAAAGGCTGAAAGCTCCAAATGGGCCTGCCTTTGTGTTCAACATTACTCATCAGCCAACTTTAGAAGGGGGGGGGAGAGGAGGAGAGACTAGGTCAGGCCGAAAAGCCTGAAAATCGTACAAATAAGGGCCAGGTGAGGGCACTTTGGTCCCAATTACAGGAGTTTTAAAACGGTGGACAAAAATACTACTGCTCTCCCTCTCTCTCTGACCCTCCCCTGCTCACGCTGTCTCTCTCTCGTAGAAAAAAAAAACTACTACTGCTGTGGCTTGACCGACAGGCCACTTCTCAGTCTTCCGTGCACATCCGGGGCGATACCCAGCCGTATGTGTGCACAGACATCCCGTATGTGTGTCAGCAGCCTCGAGGCAAACATCACAGCTTCGGAGGGTGGGTCTAGGGACGGTGCTTGGTCTAAGTCCGGTGCTAAGTACAGCGCAGCTTCATTTTGAGTACAGGTGCTTCGGGATGTGAAGATGCCAACTGGCATCAACAGGGCAAGGGTGTCTGCTGGTAACTTAGAAGCAAAGGGAACCCAGCAGGTCACTGAGGCCGACCTCCTCCCAAACCTGAGACCACGCGGTAGCATGACGCCCATTTCTTCCTCCTCAAAGTGTCCGTGACCCCCAGTGCCACGGCCCCACTGCCCTAGCCGAACCACCCTGGGACCAGTGCTTCTCACCCTCTCCTTTCATGCTGACTTCAGCAACTGGAGTCTTTCTAAAACATCGGTGGTGCTGGTGGCGGGAGAGGGGAAGCTGTTGTTTTTACCTAACAGATGCTGGAGGGAAAGCCAGGTAAAAATAACAGACTCCAAGGCTTAGAAAAGGAAGGTCCCTCCAATCTGTGTTCTGGAGATAACCTCTGTTAACATGGAGTAGGTACTGCTTCAGTACAGTCACAAATACATAGGTACTTTTTTGTTGCTTGCTTTGACAAAAATATGACCATTCTTGCTTTTTTTTCACTTAAGTTGCACCCTGGATGTCTTTCCGTGTTACCACATGTACGATTATGCAGCGGAACTAGTTGGCTATTGATGGGTGTCTGGATGACTGTAACTTCACCACTTGCAATCAGAATGGCAACAGACCTTTTGTACCTATATCCGTAGGTACTTGTGCACGTATTTTGATAACATGATTTCTCAGAAGTGAATTTCTAGGTTGAAGTTTATGTACATAAACATTTTTGACCAACTGCCAAAATGTCCTCCAATAGCACTGTACTGTGACAGGGGACACAACACTTGTCCCTCACACTCCCAATGATGCTGACTATTGCACAGCCGGCAGCCGTGGGTATTTTCTCTGCTCCAGCTCTGCCAGCGCCTAAGAGGGGCTCTGAACCTCCTACCCGTACTTTCATCTGCCCACAGAGTGACATGTGGGAAATATACCCCTTAGGGAGGGGCAACAAAAGGTTCTGCTGTTAAAAGAAGTTTGAAAAAAACCGCCCTGCAGAATAGCCTAGAACACGTTCATCCGCTTCGGCCTCTCCAGCTGCCAACAACCCCCAGCCCGCACTCCTTCCTGAATGTCAGGACCTTGTGCCAGCAGTTCCTACAGGTCTGCTCCCTGGGGTCCGGAGGGACCTGCCAATGTCCAGAGTGAAGGCAGGGCCGCCCGTGGGACGGAGGGCGCGGAGCGGGAACGCTGCGCTCCCACACGTGCGTCCGTGTGCCGCAACCGCTTGATCTGCACCCGGCCTCCAGTCCTGCACACTCCTCCTCCTCTCGCCGGCACCGATTTCCAGGCCCTCCCAGACCCTTCTGGACCTGGGTCCTCTCCTGCCCCGGAAACCCTCTGCCCCACCTACCTCTACAAAATCCAAGTCTGAGCTCGAAATCTCCTGGACATCACCTGCCGGGCAGGGTCGCACTTGACGACGGGGCCGCTCAGGGCCAGCCACAAGGGGCCTGTCACCCTCCCGGGACCAACCTCCCACTCTTCCCTGGCCTCCGTGTAAATGCTCCCGCGTGTAAATGCACCTGCCCTGCTGGGCCACGTCGCTGCTGACCTGCGTGCCGGCCTCCCTGGAGCCTGTGCTCCAGACAGGCGCTCGCTAAGTTACGCCGAATGAACAGAGGGGAAGTGGTGGAGGAGGGAACAGGCTTGCAAGCGGACCCAGAAATAAGTCTTCCAGGCAGGACGCAGACATTCCCTATCTGGGTGATCACCCTTCTCACTGCGATTTGGCTGAAGGAGGAGTGAAGGGCAGAGGGGGCTACTGTCCCACGAGTACAGAGAAGCCCCAGGGAGTCCGTGGGGTCCTTCCACAGATTTCTCCCCGGACCCGGGGGCCGCTTCCTGCCCGACCGGAGGCCGAGCCTCAGCTGGCCGGGAGGGCTGCTCAGATGAAAATAGATCTTGCACAGGAAGAAGCAGGTCGGTAACACCCTGTATCCACAAAAGCGGTCTTGCCTGGGCTCGGAGGTCTTGGTGACCTGCCTCGACAACAAAGGGACCTGTTCTCAGCGATATGGCCCCAGCT